CGTTAGTGTTTCTATTAGAACGTCTTGTCTGATGTGTGGTGTGACATTGAACGAATGCAATATAACCACAGCTCCTTCAGTGTGATGTGCAGCGCTTAGTGAGTGGATGACCTCTGTGGTGAGTGCAGCAGTGACGCGCTCCAACATAGCGCTGTGTATCGTCAGCCTGTATAAAAATAGATCCGTGTCTAAATCGCGCCAGTGCTTAGTTTGCAGGAGGGGAACTTTTAACCGGGTGCCACACCACTTCATGTCATCTGTCGTGCATGATCGCTGGAGGTGCACAGAGATGGAACGGACTAGACCCGAGTGAAACACCATGTTGTCCTCAGCTCAGACGTGAAAAGTCCGGTTAGATAACGGAAATGGATTGGACCGTTATCATCCGTAGACACAAAACGCTTTGCTGTGAACCCTCCGCAGAAGGTCAACATTTTACCACAAACACACCGACATCCAAGAGAGAGCGTGATCTCACTTTGAGAGCTTAGGCGAGTGTTGAACTTTTTCACATTCCATTTCCTGCAAATGCGGCCCACCTACCTTTAAACGTCCCAGATCACAGCAACTCCAAAGAAGTGGTGATAAAGAAGTACGAGCGCAGAAGTTTAAAAAAAAAAAAAAAAAAAAAAAAGGACCAGTCAAGGTAAAGCAGTCAGAGGGAAGCTTGTAAATATGGTTCTTTATTGCACACATGACATTTGCTTTCCTTTTTTCTGTTTTTTTTGGTGTGAGCAACAAAAACTGGCATTATTACACGTTTTACACCCTATTCAAAATAAAAGCTACTTCACAGAAAACTTACGCCACAAAAAGAAGACAATCTCACAGATTTTAGTGCACCACTCTATGGATGAGGATCTTTCAGTATATACCATACTGGTATAATTTTAGGAAAAAATGATGGACTTTTTATGCATACTTATCACAGTCAAAACGAAAAACACAAAAATCCAGTGGGGCTAAAAAAAAAAAAATCTCATTTTGTCTTTTGGTAGCAGTTGCCCTTTAACCACCTGAGTGCTACTGATTGGTTAACCTGCCGTTTAACTCATTGGAGGAATGTTTGTTAAACAGAACAGAAGAAAAATAAAAGGTCGACAGGAGAGAAGGTAGTTAGTAGATAAATGCACTAAATGCCCTACGACGCATCTTGGAAAGGCGCAGAGAACTCAGCCAGAGACGGCAGCAGTAGCGAACAGCCGTTCACTGCAGACTGCAACCAAGTCCAACCAAGAAACAGCTTCTCAGTTGATCAAATTCAAATCATGATCCATTAAGCCAAAGTTTAATGGTGGGAAGCACCCGAGACCAAATTCCAGATGTTTGGTCAAACTTTCCCCAGTGTATATTTTAAAGATTGTGCTCATTGTGCTGAAAAAGGAAGCGTTTTGGCGAGATGAAGGAAGACAGAAGAGTGGCACTTGAATGATAAAGTACAAAAATAAATAATTTCCCAATCGCAGGAAAAAAGGCACTTTTAACTCAATATTTCAGGCAGTGTTTGCAATACTTTGTGCTCTGGAAAAAAACGTGCCACTCAACACATTGTTCATCAGCTTGGTGGTTTAAAACCTCTCTGACATATACAAGGCTGGTGACAGCATAAATACATCTACCGCTAATGGACGGACTTTAGCTCTAGCTGCATATGAGCCACACGAAAGCATTAACGGCCAATCCTACAGTAATAAATTGAAAATGGCTGACAAGACAAAAAGTAAAAAGGAGAAAAAACTATTAAGGCTGTCTGCCATTAATCCAATCTCTCTCTCTACTTGCTGGTGTTTAATTAAGCAGGTGTTATAGGCGAAAAACCCCCGTTTTCAGATCAAATACACACAAAAATGTTAATTTCAGAGAGGAAAGAAGTGTTAAGTTTGATGTTAGACACCTTTAATCCTTCCTTGTTCTTTGCTTGCTGAGACATCAAGAGGATTGCAACAGTTAAGGCCAAGTTGTTTTGTGTTGAGCACGTTTGAAAAGGAGAAAAAAAATAAAAGAACAATCTTGAGGCGTCACTCAGTGGGTTAAAGTAATAATCGGGATTAATGCATTAATCTTTTGCTTGTGTATCAGTGTCAATACCTTGAATTAGTGGAGGACGAAAAAACAAGCTGAATAGAGAGAAGAGAGCTGACTGAACCCAGGGACGAGTGCAGTGTAGCGAACAACACACACTGGCAGTGTTTCAGACAGGAAACAACAAATACTAGCTCGCTGAAAGCCATACCAGCATTTCACACTGGAAGGAATAGTGAGGTTGTTTTGATCCCAAAGTACTTCATATTGGCACGGCGTACTGGCGTGTGTCTAAGCATTATGGATGCTCCCAAACGGCCCAGTATTAACCATTATATCAATAAGCTGAATTGAGAGAAGTGTTCACCAAACAGACAACAGCTGGCGATAACTATAATGCTGCTATCCAGGCATAACAAGCCTTGGAGGCAATGGAGACAAAAAACAGACTGGGGACAGCTTTAGACTATCACACAACCGCCATCTATGTCTGCTGTAAATAAATACATTTATAACGTGCAAGTTACAGTCAAATAAATCATTTTGAGATGACTAATGTGCAGTATTTTTGCACAGATTATGACTAGCCCTGCACTAACCGCTACTTGGAGAAAGAGGACACTGGTGGACATTTGAGTTTTTGGACTTTAGTGGACACACAAATCCTCCTTTAGTTAAGAGTGAGCTTTGTTCAGCTGACCCAGAAGTTAACCAGTGACCTCAAATAACACGGAACTTACAAACCCCCCCCCCCCCCCCACACCCACACCCACAGACACGTCGACACTTCCTGCCGCCTCACGGGGTGAGTGACACAGAAAGGACGGGACAACTAACACGAGAGTTGTCTCTAACAGAGACGACGAGACACAGCAGCAGTGTTGGAGGGCAAGGATGAAGAGCGTCAGCAGGTTTCTCCAGCACAGAGGTGAGAGTGCGTGAGCGGGAGTGAGGGACGTTTATCAACTCGTGCAGTTTCCAGTTAGGCTGTGTGTGCATGTGTGTGTTTAGTAATGGTATGTGGAGCATATGTGCACAGTTGACTAGTGTGTGTGTGTGTGTGCTTGTGCAAGTGGTGGCCAGAAACCAGTTTTAATGTTAATGTTTAATGTTTAATGTTAGTCCGTGAACCAGACCAAGGGAACACATTCATGAAACTGGTTAAAAACACAAGACAAAATATCAGCAAGTTAGTAAAATTCTTACTAAGAATGTTTTATTAAAATAAATGCCAAGAGGTTAATAAGAAAAATAACAGCATACACCATGAAAACTAAATGCAAGCATGTAAAAATACTTATGACAAGAAAACTAATAAAGTAGCTAATGAGTTAAACAAGCTGGGAAACAAAAACCAAACATAACAGGGAAAAGGCAACACTCCCCACAAGAGACAGTTTCCAAGATGTAAAAGAGAATGGGGGGAGGGGGAGAGGGGACGTTTGGGGGGAGAGGAGGGGAGAGAGTTGCATGTGGATTTCATAAAAAAAGAAAAAAAAATGCACTCAGAAACATGATTAATATACATATAAAATGAGATTAGAAAAATACATTATAAACCTGTAACAATGGCTGTTAATTACATTATCATACATGTAGTAGGCAGGCCAGAGAGAACACGGTCGGTATATAGTTAACCTTTCACCTGATGGACTTATCCAGACTTTCACAATGACACAGCAAGTTGTAACATTGCAGAAGGAATTTTCTTAATACTGTCAAATGCTGAATAGCCATCCACTTGCCCACTTTAATATTGCATTTCAATTTCAAATAATAACACTGAGAAAGAAAAATTAATTGACCTTTCGGTGTAACAGCATGATGAAAGAGCTATGAATAGAAGAACAAACTGCCAAGGGTAATGTTGGGATCGAGGAACTCGGATCACAGGAATACTTTCACCTTCCGGGTACAAAGCCGTCGGTTGTTCCAATAAGTGAAAACCATTTGGCTTGTTTCACTATGCAGCATTTCATCCGTCCATCGTACATCTCGTGACTGTATTGATAGTTTGTTGTCACAACAAGAGATGTTGGACAGGATGCTTTCAGTTTACAGCTATTGGAACAAATGGGCTTAATGCCGGTGGGGGGGCGACCCCCCCCCCCCCCCCTTTCCCTATCCATTACCTTGAACGTTATGCATTTTGCTCAGCTCATGATCAGAACATGTTCAGGCAGACTACTGCGCTGCTATTGGCAGTTTTAATTTGTTCTAGGAAGTTAGTCACAGTCACCAAAAATCAAGACAATAGGTCATATGATCATTAAAATCTAAATTAAAAAGAGGACACATCCTGCACGTACAGCAGAGTAAAGGGGCCATCAAGTAAAGGAAAAGAAAAACTAAAAATTATTTCAGGAAGACAAAACCATGGCACATATTTTAGCTGGTCAAAACGACTGCTATTCTTTTTGCATAGAATAACTTCGGTAACGCCACGATATGGTGGGAGCTACCCTGCTCCACTATTCAGAGCGAGTAACACGAGCCGTTCCTCTCTGCGCCATCTTGGTGGGTGCTGGATATTATTGAACACAACTGGAATACTCAGGAAACAGAAACCACTGTTGATAAGGCACTTTGATTTGATCTTTTTTTTTTTTAACTCTCTGGAGGCGTCTTGCTCTGATCCTCGCTAACTTTTTAAGGGTTACGACTGTTTTGGTCTTTGTCTTCCTTTCCAATCATATCCACGTAACAGCACTTTTTCTTCACCCACTCATTTCTTCTGTTTTCCCCCCTATTCCGTTTTAAACTTTTTTTTTTTTTTTATTTCTTTTCAGATTTTGTAACTGCAAGTAAAGTATCAAAAGCTAAAATTGGCAAAAATAGATTTTTAAATTTTTTTATCTTCTCCAGCACCCTGTAAAATTATCTATTTTTTGTTCACTTATGTATTTGTATATGCAATGACAGATATCTACATTTTTTTTTTTATATTTATATAAAAATATATATATATATATATGACGTATGTATAAAGCAATTTGAACAGGCAGGCATGGCTTTCACATCCTATTTTTTTCTTGAGAGTTGAACAAAAGGTTGTGGGCTCAGGACTACGATCATCGGAGGTGTGACACATTGTGGATGCGCTTTAGAGGGTTCGTCATGTGTTGAAAATAAACGTTTCATCCCAAAAATAATACAAGACTAAAAAATGTCTAATTTGCAGGAAGGCTCAGATTATGCCCATCTGATGACTTGGGCTACAAAACAAAAAAGACATTTAAAAAACAAAATTGGCCAAATGTTGAGATGAAAAAAATAAAGACATAAAAGCTCTTTTGGCAATGTGGCTGATGAAACAGATCACGATAGAAACCTCATGACAAAAGCATCTATGTACAGAACTTCAAAGTGCCCTCCCCCTAGCTACGCGCCGTCTTTGAGTAGCGTGTTGATTTAGTGTTAATTGCCTGCTTTCACCTCCTCAGAAAGAAGTAAGAGCATTAATGGGTCAAAAGTAATCTTACTGACTTGGCTGTCTGTTCCAGTTGAAGGCAGGCACCACAAATTCACACCCTTCCAAACTCTAAAGTCACAAAGAGAGCCCTCTGTGAGACGGATGCATAATTGCAGATATATAATTCAATGGAAAACCCTTTGGCTAAATATGCACACGTAATACCTTTTTTTTTTTTTTTTGTCTTTTCAATCACAGCTCCGCTAACTCATTGAGATCATTTTCTAAATACATCAGGCACTGTATAATGGATGTAGTGTGGATGGGGACGTAGCGATGGTCAGTAGCTAATAAGCACTGCCCCAATGTCCCCGAAGCCTCAGCACACCCTACTTTCATTGTAGTATTAATTAACACACACACACACACACACACACACACACACACACACACACACACACCCCAAAACGGTGACCTTCCCATCTTGCCCCTCATTATTCCTTAGTTTCTGCTGCCTGCTTCAAATATCAGATTGCTTTTGTTTTCCAGAGGTAACCACCTGCCTTATTTTGGGCTAGTCAATTCAAGCAAAGCTAATTAGTCAAATATGAACAACAGAGAAACCAAAATCAAGTGGAGAAAATGAGTCAAAAGTAAAGCCAAAAAAGGAAAAAAAAAAAAAAACACAAATCATAAAAAGCTCTTTTTGCAATCGTGTCAGCCATGCTTTTTTAAAAACAGACAGGAAGCTGTTTGGAGGGGCACACCCAGAATGTGTCAGCTCATAATTACATTTTTAGAGCTCAACAAATGCACTACACGTGAAAAATGACAGAAATTAAACAAGTTAATGTGAGCGTAGGTTCTCTTTCCTTCCATTTCTTTTTCTCTCCCAACAGGGTGGGGCAGGTGACGGGGGGGGGGGGAAAATCATGTGATTACACTGAAACCAAATGGTTTGCGTCAAATAGACATTGAACTTGTAATTCATACAAGTGAGGTCCCCAATTTAGAGTGATTAAAAGGAGGGTGGGTGGGCAGGTTGGGGGTCTTTATTGCTATATATAATTCAGTGCAGATTTATGAGTAATACCACAAACGCATCCACCTGGTATATGATTCATGAAGAAAAAGAAAGAGAAAGAATGGGAACTGAACTCAATGAACAGAGGGAAAAATATGGATCTTACACAACGGCGTTGGGTTTTGTTGTGTTTCTGTGAAGTCTCCATTGGTTTCTACTTTGTTTTTTTGAGAGCGTGTTAGGGTAACTGTACGGGCAGGCGCCTCCCTCCCTCTCTCTCTCCCTCTCTCTCTCACTTGCGTCCGAGAGGCTAGCAAAAGGCAATTACCAGTTAACTGATCAGCAGGCAGGCTTGGGGCGGCTCGTCATTGGGTGAAGAGTTCAGAGGTCAGAAGGTCATGTGTTAGTTGCCGGTGGCGGCTAGGTGGTTAGAAACAAAAAACAAAACAAACAGAAAAAAAAGATAGAAAGGATATTAGTGTCAGCAAGAAGAGACTGGAATGACATCATTTTAACAATAAAATGAATGCAATCTCTTATGTCGGCCCCCCCCCCGCTCCTAATCCCCCGTGCCAATGTGAGATGAACCCAGCTAATCAACATAATCATGACGCGTTGTGACGCCATGATCCCAAACTACTAAGCCCCCACCCTGAATCAGCTAGCATGGCGGTGCAATTTAAGCGCACATTGCCCCCCCAAAAATCAAAACAGAAGCAAAGAGAGGTCGAACAGACAAACAGAATAAGAACAACAGAAATCTAGTGTTTTAGTGTCTGTCAAGTTGGAGTGCACATTACAGACAGTGTGATTAGTGGTGAGGAGTCTCACTAGTGTTATGTGAGCGGTAACTGTGACTAGTGCTACATGTGCAATGAATAGATGAATCGATGCTTTCCCGATTCTTTCTCTTTATTTAGCAGTATATCGTTATATAATATAAATATACACCAGAACCATAAATACATTTGATATAAAATGCTCAAATATAAAATGACAGTACCTCATGTACAACTGAAATATTTAAAATGTATTTTAGCTTTTTTATTTCAATCTATATGCAATATACTGGAGAGAATGCAAGCTACCTCAGCTCATGTCTGTGCGTGTCTTTCTTCAGTAGAAAAATAAAAAGGCAAAATAAATTTGAATTTTCAAGGTGAAATGGTGAGTTGGCAGCAGCATGACAACTTGTCTTCTGCCCACCAGGTCTCTCAGGCGCAGTATAGAAATGCTTTTCCTTTTTTTTCGTTGCTCCTTATGAGCCGAGGAGATAAATCATGTATGGGAACAAGCCTGCCCCGTTTTTAGGCTCTAATCTCACATCAGAGGAATGTCATTCTACACCTTTAACACTGCCTGCAAAGCACTACCTGTCTTCAACAGCTGCATGAACCAAAAAAAGCTGTTCGGATCACTTTCGCCTGAGCTTTGACACATAACATATACAGTATTCTGTAGATGATGTTAAGTGCTAAATGTAAACAAAATGTGCATACCACAGTCGACCATTTAGCTGGCACGTGGATGTGTGGGATAGGAAAGGTAGTGGGGGGGGGAGAGGAAAACAAAATGCAATACAGATGATGTACAAATTCCTAACTAAGGCATCGAGGCATAATAGGCATAATAATCATTGAAAGGCAATCAATCAATAGCAGAGTGTAGCTAAGAGACTAAACTGACCTCTGTCAGCGGTCACAATCCTTTGGTAAGGATGGACCCGCGTGTCATGCCGTCTCACTTTAGTAGCCATTGCACCTAGATCGCAACAGGTCCACAAGGTTAGAAACCATTCACGTTGAGCAGGGGAAAAACAGTCATCGTTTACAGTAATAACATTCACATTTTGAACCATTATCATTAGAATGCTTAGATAATACAACAATACACAGAAAAGGCAACATAATACAGATTATAGTACATGTACACACACACACACACTCACACACACATCACACAGAGCTTCTTTTTTTTACGTGTAGAAAATGCAGTAGAAAAAAATAACGCGCTTTTTTGGAGTTTTACTTGGTATTTAAAAATGCATAACTTAAGTAATAAAATTCCACAGTGCTCAGAGTTATAGGGGGCAGGCAAAGGGTAAAGGCTTCTGGGCTGTCACAAAAAAATAATGTGATTCTTCCTCTGGGATCCAGAGGCGGATTGAGAGAAATTTGTCTCTTTATTTTTGAAAGGTGGGGAAATCCAATATAGCTCTGATGGTAATTGAATAGTGCCAGACACCAGCTGCCTCTCCCTCTCTTTCACCATTCCTCTCCAGGTCAATCTGTTCACTGGCGGCAGAGGCTGTCATCTTCCTCTTATATTTATCACAGCTGATTTCTTCCTACTGCAGTGCTCAACACTGTCTTGTGGACATAACACAAACAAGCTTGTTTGCCTGTCACTGTATGCTCAAGTACGACACAAATAAGATGCGCAGGAATTAAGAAGAACTTAAGTTCTCTTAGAGGAAGGGAGGGGACACGGGAAATAAGTTTTCAAATTTAACAAGGATTGTGTTTTGGCATTGTCAAGTTAAGAGCGAGCTTTGGCGGACGACTATGCAACCACCTACACTACTCTGGAGAAGCAGATGGCTGGACATTCCTTTATGCTCAGAGAAGCCAATAGTGGCTGGATACAGTAGCGCAGGCAGCCGAACCAAGTGCACGAGTGTGTGTGTGAGAGGGAGTGAGTGTTTCCACACAGGGCCCTGTGTTGCTGAAGGCACCAATCGATAATGTGAGTAAATAAAATGCACTAAGCTGGTGTAACCCTGCAAGTTAAGAGAGAGAAGCCAGCCAGCTGCCCCCGTCTGTTCTACACATGACTCCCAGAGGCACGTCAGATACACAGGTTAGCTACAATCAGGCTAGTGTCTGCTGCTGGGAACAGCATTAGAGGACGACTGTGTCACATTAAAGCAACCGACTCTTCCGTCTTAACGTGGGAAACGGCCTCAATAAAACATACGGCGTTCATATAAGACTCTTTCATCAGTAGATGCTCGGTTATCTCTTTGGCAGCGGATGTGTTGAGCTTAAAGCACCGTCGAGAATGAATAGAATATACAGACCCTTGCATTGAACTGTACTCCTGACACAGAAGCTAAGGGGAGCGTCAGGTATTAGCACATAGCTGGAGTTCAAGAGGGGTGAAGCTAAGACAATTGAGAGAGGGGAGGGAGGAGTAAAAAGGGAAGAATTGAGGAATTTAATGAACATCCCCAGTGGGAGTGAGAGAGGGACAATCTACAGGCATCAAGGCCTGCCTGCAGAGAACCGCACAGAGAAATGATTTCAAAAGCTGCAGAAATCCGATGGGATCTGCCGCCAGACTGAATCTGCCTCCAGGCCGGTGCATGAAAGGGTTAGAGAGCAGGCTGCGCGTATGCGAGTGTGTTTCTGTCGGCACGCCTCAATTCACACCGAGGCAAGCGCTCCTATATGAACCTCGCAGAAAAGAGAATATCTAAACCTGAGAGCGTAATTGTTTGGCGAGAACGCAACTAAAACAGTGAAGTAACTTTAGTCTAAATGATAAACTTTCCAGGAGACTAGCCCTCACAAGGTTGTTGTTTTTTTTATCCCCCCCTTTGCCTTTTTTAATACAGTGTCCATATGAGCCACATAGCTGGTCATCCCATTACCAAGAGCTTCACCAGCACATCCACTCTGTGAGTTTGTCTGTTTTTGATCCTCAGGTAGACACGACATATTTACCTTTCAACAAGTCCTGACTGTGGCTCATGGCAGCTGCGTCCATCACCCCAGCTCCGGGGTAAAACAAGCTGCCCTCCTGTCCAAACTGGCTAAAGGGGGCCATTGTACCTGGACCCATGCCCCCCCAGGCTCTCTTACCTAGAACCCCACTGTGGTCGATGGGATACTCCAGCAGAGAGCTGGGTGCCAGGGCGTAAGGGTAGTCGTATGGGGTGGCGTAGATAAGACCGCCATCCGGTGAGGGAGGCACCAGGGTGGGGGTGCCATTGGACATCATGGCTGCCATCTGAGGGGATCGGATGAGGTTCATGATGGGGCCCCCGCCTGGTGTTTGTGGCCGGAGAGCCTGGGGAGGCATAACCTGACCATTGGGGGCCGCTATGAGACGTTGGCCCTGAGCGGCCGCTGCCGCCGCTGCAAGAGAGAATGCAAGGGTGGCTGCCATAAGCAAGAGAGCAAAGGACAGGAGTAGAAAGAAAGAAGGACAAGAGATAAAAGTGGAGTGTGGTTGATCATAATCACAGATGAACAGTGAAAAGTGAAAATACAAAAGGAGGAAAAAGAAGAGGTAACGGGAAGTGGCAGGTAGAGAGGGGAAGAGGAAGTGGGGCAAAAGGGAAAATTAGTCCATGCAATGATCATGGTGGTGAACCACTAAAGCCACAATCTGTTGCAAAGGAAAAAAAGTCAACATAGCCAAACAAAATAAAAACAACGCCCCTCACACCAAAACACAGGAAGCATGAAATGCTGCGGTCATCCCAATGCATTCAAATCACCACAGCAGCGGTACATTCATCTACTGGAAATGGCACAGGTGAGGTAAACGACACGCATGCCAACAGAAACAGAGCTGTTGACTGTATGCAGAGGAGAAACACTCAATGAAGAGAAGACTGATCAGGGATTTAGGCCTGAAGATGATCATCGAAGACGATGGGAACCTACTACATTAAGTTGTTAGTAACTTTACAGATTTTGATCCCCCACATAGTCAGCAGTCCGTTTAAGATGATAACGTACAAGTGAACACACAGAGATATACGCGTGTGTGGAGTGGTGACACAAGCTTCCCGATAGGCAGGTCAATTAAATCAAGCGCTTTGGTGACTAGAGTCAGATGGTGGACCAGAACATTTGAGCAGATAAATGTTAAATAGGGGAAATGAAACAGTGAAATTAAGCACCTATAGTTTCATGTCATAGAGTCCAAGTATATCGAAGAACCCAGTTTCTGATGTTGTGATAATAAATTACATTTTGAATGATAATTAAGAACATAATTCATGGTCCAGAGAGTAAATGCACAAGTTCTGGCTTTATATGATTCATTATATCCAAATCATAGATGCGATTATGCATTTAGAAATGGCATTTGTTGATTAAAGTCGGTGTAGAATTTGTTCTTTTCATATTTAATTGGGAATCCAAAATCGGAAAAAGACAAAATGATGCGTTGTCGTCATTTATGAATCAAACACAAAAAACAAGCTTTTTGTTTTTTTTGACTTTATGCTCAAGTCAAAATTGAAAACTTTAAAAAATGGGCAACAGGCTGAATCTTATTTTGATATTAAATGTGTCCGACTTGTGTGACCAGGAAGTTACGGACTTCTTATTTAAGTTCATCAAGTGCAAGACGCACATTAGTCATCCTGGTCACAGAAATCTGACACATTCAAAATCTAAATAAGAATTTACTTGAGGCATTAAATCAAAAGTAAGAAAAACAAGCTTTTTTTTGTGTTGGATTTATAAATGATAACAAAATAATGAATTGTTTTCATTATTCCGATTTTGGATTACTATGGAATATGAAAAGAGCGAATGACACACGGATCGATTACGAAGCAAACACTGAAGACATGTGAGCTAGTGACCAACATGCATTGGTGAGCAGGTGGAATACAGCAATGTGCTGAAAGAGTTTGCCAAGAGCAAGTGATACAGAGTGATGGCATCTGGATTGCAGGGGGGGGGGGGGGGGGGGGGGGAAGGAAAACAATTCATTATTTTGTTATCATTTATAAA